GGGTGACAGGCAGTGGGTGTGTTAGCATTGGGAGGGTGACAGGCAGTAGGTGTGTTAGCATTGGGAGGGTGACAGTCGGTGGTTGTATGAGAATTGAGAGGGTGACAGTGATGAGTTGTTACACTCTTTAACTAATCAATGTGGCTACTAATATTCCCTTTAAATTTTGAACATACACATTTCAAATATATTAAACATCGAAATAGTTGAAGGTGTCACAGAAGGTTTGATTCATTTTCAAATGTTCCTTTGTCTGATCAGCCTTGATAGTGCAGCCTCCTTTGCTAGCTCATTGCTATGGTGTCAGTACTCTTGGCCATGCTTTCAATGATAACGTGAAGGTAATCTGTGTTCTGAAGTTGAACGTGTGACTGTATCTCTGCTGTCATGGAAACACCAGCATTTTCATCTCACTCCTATTCGTTTCTCCTTCCCTGGACAGAGGCGGATTGTGGACTTTGGTCCCTGGCACCGGACCTGACCCATATCATGATCAAACAGGAGCCAAACCTATTGCCAGAGCCCTGCCATGTCTCCCAAGCAACACAGATAACAGCTCTCTCTGGACAACATATGAGCTCTGCTCCACCATCAAACACCACAGACGAACCGGTATGTCTGAAATTGTAAAAGGTGGGGACTTCATGATTGCTGTCACTTACGCAGGATCCTTTTAAAATGACTGCCTTCGCACGACCACATACACCTTTGGCCAGATCCTACATGTCTCCCTCTCAGCAAAGCTACATTATCCTTAAGTCTCATCCTGTCATATCATAGTATAATATTCCTGTTCCATTATACAGTCTTCCCTTGACTTGTGCCAGCAGGGTCAGGCGTACTATACAGATATAACATCAGTCTCACTGTCAGGACAGGGACATTATACAGTCAAAATATCAGTCTCACTGTCAGGATAGGGACATTATACAGTCAAAATATCAGTCTCAGTGTCAGGACAGGGACATTATACAGTCAAAACATCAGTCTCAGTGTCAGGACAGGGACATTATACAGTCAAAACTTCAGTCTCTGCTTTGGAATGTTTGCACCATGCCCCTGTTCTATAAGTTTCCTCATTAACATTGTAAGAACACCAATCGTCTCATTAGACACTAATTTGGGAAATGCAGCTGTACCTTACCGTAGACATACATCACCAGTGCACCTCTCCACACAGCCCGAAGTACTGTGTTTAGTGATGAACATTGACTCGTCTGCTTACTGTATAGTAGTGGGCTGCTCTCTGATATCCTTGCTGGACTCACCTTCTCTCCACTGGGAGACCAGCCCATCCCTTCGAGTGAAGGATGGGACACCACCTGACCAAACTAACAACGAAATGACAATAGCAGGCCGGTCAATCTGCCTCTCCCTTTAGTCCTCAGATAATGGTATGTTTTAGTGCCAGCTAACCACACAGTAGAATATTATTTAAGTGGTGATATATTGGAAAATGTGGATGTACAAGAGATGTAGTAGACAGGGCTTGAGATGATATGTAGGGATGTCTAACTGCAGTTATACAGGAGTACGTTGTGCTGTTTTAGTCTGTCTACCTAAGAAAAGACAGACTTGCCATTGAGAGAGTGTAATGAAGGTTCACTAAGCCGATATTAGGGAGGGAAGGACTATCATGTGAGGAGACATTGGTTTGACTGAGCTGTATTCACTTGGGTTAAGAGGGTGAGAGGGACTTTAATTGAACTGAATAGCATTCTAACAGAGCTAGACAGACTAGAAACAAGGAGGATGTTTCCCCTCTTTGGGGAGTCTAGACAAGGAGATGCAGTCTCAGGCTATGGTGTAGACCAGTTAGGGCTGAGATGAGGTATGGTTTCTTTACTCAGAAGGTAGTGAATCTATGGAATTCTCTATCACAGAAGGACCTGGAGGCTGGGTCACATTCGAGAGTGAGATAGATAAATTTTTCGACGTTAAAGGAGTATGGGGAGAAAGCAAGAATAGGGTGAGGTGGTGGATCAGCCAAGATCACATTGAATGGCAGTGCAGGTTCGATAGATTGAATGGCCTACTCCTGCTCCTAGTTACTATGTTGAGAAGGAAAAGGGGAGAGAGAGTAGAAAATAAGGCAGAAGCTAAACTTTTCTGTGGGGTCGGTCTGATCAACTGTGCACAGCTTTACTCTTCACCGCAATAATTTTCTTTCCTCACAGGCCCAGACAGAATCAAGCCCAATGCCTCAAGTCAAAGTCGAACCCAAAGATCTCAATCAGTTCCTCAGTGTCCACACAGGTAGGAAATGAAAACCTGGATAAGCGACAGTGGGCAAAAATGTCAAACATGAGATTGTGCTGTTCAATCAGATGGAAGTGAGAGATCCCACTATTTCAAAGATGTCGGGGGCCTGGGGTCCTGGGTGCAGCGTATCCAGAGTGAAGATTCCTTGCTCTGTGTCACTATGGCAGATGTGGATTTCATCGTACAAAGTCCTATCTTCAACTAGACTAACCAGTCTGACATCCCCTTTGCTTTCATCTTCGATAGACCTATAGTCGATAAAACAAACGTGTGGTAGCCACTGAAAGTTTGAATTGGCCAGATGTCAATAGTTGCTTTGGACCTCTGACTGCACTCCCTCTCCAACAGGTTCCAGCTCTCACACACACCCCTCAGTCCCACTTTACTGGCCTCACCAAGGCATCCTGACAATTTTCAACCCTCAAAATGGTGGTCACGGTGGGAATAGCTTTGTGAAGCACTGTCTACGATTTTCCCTCCTGACTCGAACGTGCTGCAGATCCATCTCTGAGCAGCGCTGGAGAGTTACAGCATGAGAAATTGAATTCCCTGACTTTGGGAAAATGGGGCACAATCTCTGGCCTCCCCCACCCCCACCCCCGAACCCTGGAATCTGACGATCGAACAAGTTTGGCGTGACGTTCTGAACAGTGCGATGCCATTAAGTAAACATCTATCACTCATTGAGCAGAATTGCATCCATACTTTACAGAAATTCCTGGTTAATCATTCACTGAAGGATTTCCAGCCTGTGTGAATGCCAGTTTTCGGCCTCTCAGTCTCTCCTCCATGGGCATTGACCACTGTTTTTAACCACGCGGGTCCCAGAAGCATTGGTTGTGGATGTAAGGGCATGAAAGAGTTAATACTCAGGAGAGCCATAAGCACTGCCCCTGCTAGAAGAGTACCATGTGTGCAATTAGAAGGCCACAACACCATGAGGTGGCACGGTGGCTCAGTGGTTAGCACTGCTGCTTCACAGCTCCAGGGACCTGGGTTCTATTCCACCCTCAGGCAACTGTCTGTGTGGAGTTTGCATATTCTCCGTGCATCTGTGTGGGTTTCCTCCCACAGTCCAAAGATGTGTAGGCTAGGTGGATTGGCCGTGCTAAATTGCCCATAGGGCTGTGTGGATTATGGTGGGATGCTCTGAGGTTCAGTGTGGACTTTTGTTGGGCCAAAGGTCCTGTTTCCATGCTGTAGGGATTCTATTTTATTTTAACACCACTGGCCAGAACCCTCTCCTGAGCAATGTCAGGCTCCAGCAGGTTTCAGACTGGGCTCAGGAGACATCACAGAGTGCAGGTCTAGTGAAGGAACAAAAACAGAAGTTGCTGGAAAGGCTCAGCAGGTCTGGCAGCATCTGTGAAGTAAAAATCAGAGTTAGCGTTTCGGGTCCAGTGACCCTTCCTCAGAATGTTAACTCTGATTTTTTTTCCTTACAGATGCTGCCAGACCTGCTGAGCTTTTCCAGCAACTTCCGTTTTTCTTCCTGATTTATGGCATCCGCAGTTCTTTTAGATTTTATCTGGTGGAGGAAGATCTGGCTGATTGGTTTGTGGTAGTGGTGGTGGGGTTGGGGGGCGTGGTGGGTGGAAAGGTGGTGTTGGGACGATGGGGCAGGGAGGAGCGATGGACATTTAGCAGTTGTAGGGAGAAGGGACCAACTGTTTCTCTGTTTCTTGTTCTGGTCCACGTCATGCCTTTCCCACCATACCTCTCCCTTCAGAATACAAAGCTGATATAAATTCTGAAAGTTACAGGAGACATGTTTTGTGGGATGAGGATAAATTTGTCGGGGAGAATGCCTGGGCAAAATAGGAGCTTGACAATGCCCTCATGCTTTCTGTCTCAGAGGCTGGATTCCATGTTCCCCATGGCCTCTGAGGGTCAGAGGGAAAAGGCTGACCCTCCCATGTGACTGCAGCTTCCTGTGACTGCCTGCAGGTGGCACTCTGGGGGTGGGTGATGACTGCAGTGTGAAGGAGTGTGGCTCCAATGCTAGGCCAGCACCCCACAGGGCACAGAATGTGGGAGCTCTGGTCTGGTCCATTTAACCACCTCACACCCGCCATTGTCAGCGAGTTTGCCCTCTTGGCCAAACTTTTCTCAAAGCAGATGCCATGGCCAGTCCTCTAGACCTGTCTCCCAGTGCCCAGTAACAGGTTTGTACCACTGGACACCCTGGGATGTGCCAGTCCACCTGCGGTAGGGAGCGATTTGGAGACATCACGGTAGACCTACCGGATTGATTTAATTTTCAAAGTATTGCAATTGTTGATGAGACAGTGATAACTTCTACAAACCCAAGACAAATACAAGATGCAACGTGTGCAATATCCCTCTCACTTTATTGAAGAAGAGAATGGGAGGCAGTGACTTGTGGGAGGCTCTGGCTATTCAAACCCTCATTTGACCAAAATTGTTTGTTTTATGCATTGCCGAGGTGAAGAAACACTTTGTCCACCATCTTGCACTCATCAACCTGATTTATAAAAAATACCAATGTAAAGGGGAACATCATGTGATGCTCTGATTGGACAATATTTGCTAAATAATCCTGATTGTGCTCAGAATCATACTGATACATAAGAACATAAGAACGTAAGAACTAGGAGCAGGAGAAGGCCGTCTGGCCCTTCGAGCCTGTTCCGCCATTCAATAAGATCATGGCTGATCCTTTCGTGGACTCAGATCCACTTACCCGCGTTCTCACCGCATCCCTTAATTCCTTTATTGTTCAAAAAAAATCTACCTTTTTTTTAAAAGCGTTTACTGAAGTAGCATCAACTACTTCACTGGGCAAGGAATGATGACTAATGTAGGATTGTCAGCTGGGCTCACAGTGTAGTACACTTGCATTGAGAAGGTGTTCCATTTTTGAGTTTGTTTCTAAGTCGATTGTATGTAGGATCTTTAAAATTAAAATTAATACACCCCCTGTGTGGGATCATGTTCGTAAGTCGGACATTTGTAAATCAGGGATTCCCTGTATGGGAAGCTACAATTATTAATAATATTATATTAATACACAGGACCTTAATCTCTGTAGACAGAAGGAACATTGTGACTGTTTCAGCTCAACAGCCATTCGCTGGTTCATTCCCAGGACAACATCTCTACCAATCAGAGTCCACTTGTCAACCAAATTGGAATGCCCCTCTTATACAGTTTGTAAAAGTCTGCTGCAGTCCCATTACATTGGCATTCTTGTGAACTGTCCTGATGAGTGCCAGATTGAAAGATTCGACCAAAGGTGCGCGTTTGTCAGCAAGACTAAAGTCAGGTACCACCTAAATGGTTCCTTGTTTGGTTTGTGGTTGCTGTCGTACTGTAAGTTGACTTGCATTTGCTTCTCTGTTTTCCCCTCAGATGTACAGCTGCCACCAACACCCCCCAGCAGTCACAGCAGCGACAGCGATGGCTCTCAGAGTCCCCGGTCTCTCACCCCATCCAGCCCAGCTCGACCACAGGCTCGGACGTCCAGTGCGATTTCATCGTCGCCCCTGCTCACAGCGCCTCACGTACGTCTGCTGATTTGCCTATAACATGGGCTGCCCCGTAATATTAGCAGGGAGGATAGCAGGGGGCAAGAAAATGTCTTGGGAGTGTTCACATTGGCACCGAAAACTGCGAATCCTTTCTTTTTGCCGAATCCCTTTCATTTATTGTGCGAAGGTTATTCTTTCTCCCCCATTTCCATTTGACCCCCCCTCCCTCATGAATTCCCTGTCTTTGGACCTTGGCTCGCTGATGACATGATGCCACCTTGGGGTACATCAAAGAAGAATTGGGCATTCTCTCTAGCATCTGACCAATGCACAGCCGATGACTTACACTTGAACCATTATCCAGCGCTGTTTGTGGGATCTTGCTGTGTGTTATCCTCCCTCTGGCCCCACCCGACATCCCGAGGGCGATTATGCTCCATGGCCACTACAGCCCAGGAGTGGCACTTTGCTGTGTCCTGAGGTGCTAGATAAATGCAGGCCTTTATTTCTGTTTCATCAGCTGGAACTCCCCGGTAGACCCCGTGCGAGAAAGGGACAGGAGCACGGAGAGCAGCCAATGAAAACATGGTATGGGAATTGTGGCAGCAGAGGGAATTATTTATGGATGTCAGGGAGGAGAGAGAAATGGAACTTTATTACAAAAACAATAGGCTCAATGGCAGCAACCTTTAAAGTAGCAGGCAATGTTATTCATTAAATAGGTGGGCTCCACAACCTGGAACCTATTCTCTAAGAAATATTTTACTTGGGACCCTGCCTTCAACGGAGCTCTGTTGCTCACTAGTGTCTCTATGAGTTGGTTAATTGGTGAAATAGAAATCATATTGCTGGGGCATATACGGAGCTTTAAAATATTTATTCTTCAGTAAATATCAATAACCGTTTTAATCATCCGAATGTCAGTTTGGTTGATTGAAGTTTTTATTTGGTAGAATCTGCTTCTATTTTCGCTTTACATTTCTCAGGCTTCACTTTGCCTCCCAAAGCCTTACACCACCTCTTGTTCTCCCAGTTCGGAGTTTTGCTGGGAATCAGTTCTAATGGCCACATGTGCCCCTTGGTGGCTCAACTCAATGCCCACTATCTGCAGGCAGGCCGGGGCGGGTGGCAAACGCACAGTCCGATCCCGTCTTTCCCCGAGTGCCCGCAACTGCAGGGGGGGGGTGGGGTGGGGGGGGGTGGATGCACAGCAGCTGACTGATCTCTCCTGAAGCCGGGGTACTGAGGCCAACAGCAGCAGGGGCGTCACCACCCCTCAGTTGGGGTTCTGGATCTTGGTCTTTCGTCCAATCACTTGCGGCTCGTTGGTTGACCCAGTAAGGGTGACACTCAGTTGCCCAGCGTGACTGACCAAGGGTGAACGGGGCAGGCTGGCCTATAATGACTCCGTTGCCTTAAGGATCGCGTTTGTGGTTCAGTCGTGTCGCAGGTTCCAAAAAAAAAATCAACCAACCACTCCGGCCCAACGAAAACCGACAGGTGCAACGTGTGATGTTGTCAGGAAGCGTTTTGATTATGCGCGCGAGGTGACGCCAGGCCCTGGTGAACTTTGGGCTTTCTTCTCTTGCCAGAAACTCCAAGGGACGTCAGGCCCTCTCCTATTGACCGAGGAGGAAAAGCGCACTCTGATCGCTGAGGGATACCCAATCCCCACCAAGCTGCCGCTCACGAAAGCTGAGGAGAAAGCCCTCAAGCGGGTCCGAAGAAAAATCAAGAACAAGGTAAAGGATCGAACTCCCAGTTCACTGCAAACTGAGGAGGCTTTCAGACTGGGGCCAATTGTGAACCTGAGGGACCAGTTAACTGCTGCTAGCCCCATCCCACAATCCATCAGGGGGGACGGCGCCTTGCGTGTGACATCATAGAGGGCTAAGGGCCCTGTTCAATCAATGGAGTACACCAGGCTGTGTGTCCTGTCCCCACAGGAGTGATCAACTGTCACCACTATACTTGTGCTACTGCACAATGTGTCATGATTTTTATCATCAAACATACACAAGTGACACCACAGACTGTTCATCCCTCCCTATTGTTCAATCAGACATCATCTCCTGTTAAACATCAATTGTTTTCCACACTCAACGATACAGACTGTTCTTGCAGTTAGTGCCAGGCATGACATTTGCCTTGGAAAGTTGAACCCCTTAATTAAATCCCAGCCCCGCAGCTCACTCCTGAATCTCTACTATTCATTTCCCTGAATCTCTACTATTCATTTCCCTGAATCATCTGATCCCGTTCGGTTAAAACCCAGCCTGTAACTCACTCCCAGGTATCTATCCATTATCCTATTTATACATTACCCAAACCCCTCAATTATATTCCAGCCTTGTGGTTTACTCCCAGATCTCTGTTATCCTGTTACGTACACCGTCTGATCCACACGATTCAATCCCAGCCTCTAATTCGCATCCATTATTCAGCGTATAAACTATCCAAACCCCTTCATCAGAATCCAGCTTGAAACTATCCAACCTTGTCTAGGGGAGGTCAGTGATTGTGTGAACTGATCAGTCACCGTGATGGTATGAGAGTGGAAGCTGTCTTGTTTGCTGGATCCTAACACTGCAACTCTGCCATTTTCCTCAGATTTCTGCACAGGAGAGCCGGAGGAAGAAGAAGGAATATGTGGACAGTCTAGAAAAGAAGTAAGTAGCCAGGTCTGTAAAACAATGTGAGTTTAGGGGTGACAGCTCTCTGCGTAGATGTGGCTCTTTGCAAAGTTTGGCGCTGTCGATTTTCCAGTATGTGTTTTGACAGCAGTGTGAACTAGGGGGTTATGTGATTTTTGTTTTGACATCAGGGGTTACTGGGATTGGCATTGGATGGGGGAATGGAGTTGGGTTTTACAACATGCCACCACAGTGTATGTGAGTGGTATGGTGGTTCAATGGTTAGCACTGCTGACTTATAGTGCGAGGGACCTGGGTTCAATTCCACCGTCAGCCTGGAGTTTGCACATTCTCTCTGTGTGGGTTTCCTGTGGGTGCTCTGGTTTCCTCCCACAGTCCAGAGATGTGCGGGTTAGGTGGATTGGCTCTGCTAAGTTGCCCAGGGTGTGCAGGCTAGCTGGAGTAGCCATGGGAAATGCAGGATTATAAGGATGGTTTTCTGAGGGCCCAGTATGGGCTGGATGGACTGCATCCACAGTGTCTATGATTCTAACACATCCTGCTTTGTCACACCTGGTAAACAATTTTCTGATGTGCTCTGTGTGGCACAGGAGGCACTGATCAGTATAAGCACCTTGTAAATCCCTCTGTGAGGATAGCTCACTGATGTTCCAGGGCAGATTTTCTCACCCTGCCTTTCGTTCCCTCTGTCCGTCACACAGCTTTGTCCCTGCTGTGAAATGGGAGGGCTGAGGCTATAGGGGGCTCTGAGGTGGTCATCCCAGTGGGAGATGACCCACAGCCAATGTGAGGGGCTGGGTTTGGTGTGGAGAGTCTGCCACCAGCATTTTACAATGAAGCTACAAGTCCTGAGTTATTGCAGTGCCAGAATTATATCCATAGCCAGGTGAGTGCTGCATTATGGCAGGACCTTATTGGATAGCCACAAGGAAATTAAACTTTAAACATTTGAAAATGCCAGCTCGCCCCGTTAGGGATGCTCCCTGGCTGTTCTGTACTGGATCTGGGGCTGACTTGACACCGCTGTTGGATTCCACTCTCAGGGTCGTTCACTAAATCCCAAATCCATTCCCAATCTGGGACGAATGGTTTTGTAACCTCAAGTTACCCGGAGTTTATCGGATCTGTTGTTTTGTCCTTGACAGAGTGGAGACTTACACTTCGGAGAATAACGAGCTCTGGAAAAAGGTGGAGACCCTAGAGAACGTGAATCGGTAAGTAAGCTGTGTTCTGTTCTGTCTTTCCTCGCCATCTGATAAGCCCCCCGCCCTGCTCCCTCCCCCACCCCACCTTGACCAGGCTCTCAGAACCCCCTCCTCATGAGGCCTTTGCAATGTCACCAATTATCCAATGATACAACTTTGGGCTGTTGCAGGTGCTAAATCAATGCAAGTGTTGCTGGGTTTGCCGCAGACTTTACCAATCGTGCAAACTCTGACCCATTTGAAACCCCCATGTTCTGTCCTTGAGGCCCTCCCCCACAGCAAAGGCTGGACTGTGACCTGTTCCTGGACTAATCTGCTGCCCCTCTCCTGCAGCACCCTGTCCTGTCCAGCAGTGGGTGTGGGACACCCCAGTTGCTCAACCCACCCTTCCCCCACCCCACTTTTCGCAGCTATACTCCCCACTCCACCACCCTGTCTCTCACAGGATTTCTCTGAACCAAGTACTGACCACTGGAAAAGACCAAAAGAAGGAGCTGCACTTATATAGCGCCTACAGTGGCCAGTTGGCGCAAAGTGAGATCCCATAACGAAAATTGAAATGCTGACCAGGCAGTGAACTGGCCAGGGCACGGGTGTGTACGCAGTCATTTCTTTGTCATTGACTTTGAATTAACTGTTAAACAGAGGTCCTGTGGTGAATGCAAAAGATGCAAGGAACTTCAACAGCAATTAAAAGGTTATTCATCACTTGTTGTTCTTGGGATCTTGCTGTGCATCAACCGCTTGCTGCGGCTTGCCTACATTACAACGTTTTCTTTTGTTGGCTGTTAAGCGCTTTGGGACATTTAAAGATGTGAACAATGGTATCAAAGTCAAAGCTGCCCCCCTCCATCCCCCACCTTCAACACTCACTCCCTCCACCACCGACGCTCAGTAGCAGCAGTTTGTACTATCCACAAGACGCCCTGCAGAAATTCACCAAAGACCCTCAGGCAGCACCTTCCAAACCCACGACCACTTCCATTCAGAAGGACAAGGAGAGCAGATACATGGGAACACCACCTCCTGCAAGTCCCCCTCCAAGTCACTCACCATCCTGACTTGGAAATATATCACCATGTCAATGGATCCATATCCAGGAACTTCCTCCATAACAGCATTATGGGTCTGCCTACACCCTAGCGGTTCAAGAAGGATCAAGTGGGGTAGTCTGTCAATGGGCTGAAGGGCCTTTCCTCTATGATCCTGTGAAGGCAGCTCATGACCACCATCTTAATGGCAACTAGGGTCGGGCAATAAATACTGACCCGGCCAGCAATGCCCACATCCTGTGAATGAATGCAAAGAAAAGCTGTCTTTTAGAGATACCTTCACTTCAACCAAAACAAATACAACTTTTTGACATCCTCCCAGAACAGAAAGACATCTTGAAGTCGCCTGCTCCAGCAGACAGAGTGTGCGCTTCACAAATTCACTCATTGTTCGGGAGCTGGGTGGTCCACTCCCAACAGCCAGTTCACCTCATTAGCACAACTCCTCTCCTTTCCTGGCTGTAAGTTGTAGGTCACAAAAGTTTGAGCAGCACCAAAAAAATCTCACCTCCAGCTGCCCACCGCAATGCCATTCTCAATACAGGGATTAGTGCCTCAGCCTTCCAGTGGTGATGCTAGCTAGCAGCTTAATGTGGACAAGGCCACCCTCTGCTGGAGACACTGTGTAATCTGCAGCCTTTGCCACTGAAGCAAGAGCAGATTTTCAATAACATTTTTAGAGTATTGCAAACAACAAACACTCGAGAATACAGCGGGTCAGACAGCATCCACGGAGAGGAGAGCAAGCTGCCGTAATTTGTTCCTACATTTAGAGTACTGCCCTTTCTCAGTTGAGAAGGTGACGATGAACCCTCGTTGCAATCCGCTGCAGTTGGTGCGGTGTAGGTACTCCGCAGAATAATTCTGTAGAGAGATCCGGTGAATCCAGAGACAGGGAAGGGGCCAAGTCCAAGTTGGGAGGGCTGTGCGACTTGGAGGCAAAGTGATGTATCTGCTGCTCTTGTACTTGTAGCTGGTGGAGGTCACGCACTTTGGATGGGGATGTTGTGGAGAGGTTTTGCTGGAGTGCAAATCTGCTGCTCCTCTCCTGCAGCACCCTGTCCTGCCCAGCAGTGGGTGCAGGACACCCCAGTTGCTCAACCCAGCCTCCCCACCCCACTTATTGCAGCTATATCCCCTCCCCCCCACCCTCTTTCTCTCACAGGCTTTCTCTGAACCAAGTATTGACCAGAGGGAAAGGAGGAGCTGCACTTATATAGCACCTGTCAGTGGCCAGTTGGTGCAAAGTGAGATCCCACAAAGCAAACTGAAATGGTGACCAGGCAGCAAACGTGGAGGGGAGTGGATGTTTAACCTGGTGGCTAGTGGTGGGAAACTTAATCTCCTTTAAGGAGGTCAAGGCAGGGATTCTGAACACTGTGACACTGGCCTTTTTAAACAACTGACCACTGCGCTGCAATAACAAGCTTCTTTCATTGAGGAGAGAGCATCATTTGTACCAGAATTTTTTAAAAAATTACTCGTGATTAGAAAATCTCTCCATTTTATTTTGGCCGCGGGGCTGCCAAGACTAACGAATAACCTCTGGGTCCCATTTGACTTCCAGTGTCACCCCTGTTACACAGGAGAACACAGGGAGACAGATTAAAACAGATGAGATGTGAGAAAACTCTGAGTTAGATTTATTCTTTCACGGGTGTGGATGTTCCTGGCAAAAGCAGTATTTATTGCCCATCCCAAATTGCCCCTGGGTTCAATTCAGAGGGCAGTTAAAAAGTCAACTCACATCTGGGAGATCACATCCAAAGATGTGCAGGCTAGTTGGATTGGCCATGCTAAATTGCCCGTAGTGTTCAGGGATGTGTAGATTAGGGGGATGGGTCTGGGTGGGATGCGCTGAGTGTCAGTGTGGACTTGTTGGGCCGAAGGGCCTGCTTTCCACACTGTAGGGATTCTATGATTCTATGATCTATGATTGGAATCACACATAGGCTGCACCAGGGAATGACAACAAGTTTCTTTCCCTAATAAAAAATTGATGAACTAGATGGGATTTTATGAACCAAAGTACTTCTACAGTTACTCTGTTAAGATTTCAATTTGATGTTTATTAAATACATCAAAACTAATTTGCTCTGGTGGGATTTGAACTCATACCCTCAGAATATGAGCTAAGACTACAGGATTACTAGACTGTTGACAAACTCCTGTCCCACATTTGCCACCCCTTGCCCCTGGCTGTGAGGATGGTAAAACGCTATGATAATGAACCTCACCTTTTGTTCTTTCAGGACCCTGTTACAGCAGCTGCAGAAACTGCAGGCGTTGGTGGCTGGGAAGGTACCTCGCCCCTGTCGGGTGGCATCAACACAAACAGGAACCTGCCTGATGGTAAGATCCAGGACCAAACAGCAACCTCGATAGCCCAGGGGCTGTAAAATACACTCAGTGCCAACTGACTGTACCAGTAATCGTGGTGTTTTCCTGTTCCTGATAAAATACACTCAATGCCGACTGACTGTACCAGTAATCGTAGTGTTTCCTGTACCCAATAAAATACACTCACTGCTGACCGACTGTACCAGTAATCGTAGTGTTTCCTGTACCTAATAAAATACACTCACTGCTGACCGACTGTACCAGTAATCGTAGTGTTTCCTGTACCTAATAAAATACACTCACTGCTGACCGACTGTACCAGTAATCGTGGTGTTTCCTGTACCTGATAAAATACACTCAGTGCTGACTGACTGTACCAGTAATGGTGGTGGTTTCCTGTACCTAATAAAATACACTCAGTGCCAACCAACTGTACCAGTAATCCTAGTGTTTCCTGTACCTAATAAAATACACTCAGTGCTGACCGACTGTACCAGTAATCGTAGTGTTTCCTGTACCTAATAAAATAC